CTTCATGAAAACTTTGAATGGGGGCATGTAGGAAGAGCTAAAAATCAAAGTGGACGAGTAAGAAGAAGAGTTAGAGGTGAAGGAGGCGTGGCTAAGATTGACAGACGGGGGGTACTCGACCAATAGAAACTCGCAAAGCCCTTGGTAGTCCAGGTGTAGATTATCAAATGTGGAACAGTGGATGTCGCCGTAGCATTCGCACCTTGATGGTCTGTCGTCTGTTGGGGGGGGGGTGGGGTTTGGTTTGGTTGGGCGGGTGAATTTGTGGTGAATGTTTCATGGGTCGGTAGAATGATTGACGAAGTTGAGAAATGACAGAATTAATTAATGATGAATGAATAAATAAATGAATGGATAATGGATGAATGGATTAATGAATGAATGAATAAATAAATGAATGAATGAATGGATGAATAAAAGAATAAATGAATGAAGGAATGAATGAATGAATGAATGAATAAATGAATGAATGAATTAGCGATTTAACAACTGACCGCATATATTTAACGCATTCTGAACGTCAACTCTCAACCGAAAAATATCATCTACTGACGTGGCCAAGAAGTAATTTCTATCTCTCTGTGTAAATTATAATTATAATATTAATAGTAATTATAATAATAATAGTACTAATAATAATAACAACAATGTTGTTGATGATGATGATACACACACGCACACGCCGCGCACAAACACAAACATTCAAAAATGAACTTACAACAGACGGGGCAGACGACAGCGACTTAACTACGCCCTCATCAAGCCCCAAATCGCGGCCACCAGCCACAGGGCCACCAAGCGACACTGAGACACCTAGCGACACAACGTTCGCCCTCGATGCTTCTAGCCTACTCAACAGACCCCCGACCTGCGCTCTATCCCTATCGTTACCCGTCGATGACGTCACAAAACTGACCACTATCACGTGATTCGGAACGTAACCTCGATCTTTTGGATTAGAGAAAAGGTCAAGCAGAGTTGAGAGACCGGAAGTGATGTTGTAGACGAATTTGTTGGGGGCGAGTTTGAGGGAGAGAATTTTTGCTTGTAGCTGTTTGTCGTCGATTATCCTGCGATGATGATGATGATGATGATGGTGATGATGATGACGATGATGAAGATGGTGATGATGACGATGATGAAGATGTGTGTATGTGTGTGTGTCTAAGGAGATGAAATCTTACTCACTCGTTTAAATTGAATTCAACTTTAGCCACATCAGAAACAGTAAAGAGAGCAACACGATTCAAATCCGAACCCAGTTTCACCGGGTTCAAAAGCATGCTGAGAAACTGAAGAACTTGATTCCATGTGTTGCATGACGTTTGGTCTGACGTCAAGGTTGGGTCGGCTGCACAAATGGAGAACGATGATTGGAGAAGGATGAATATGTCTTTTGGTTGGTCGCATCCTATTGGTTGGTATAAATAGAATTACGAATGAATGAATGAAAGAAAAAATATTAATAAATAAATAAATAAACGGATGAACCGACCAACGCAGAAAGAATTTTCGCAAGAGTTGGGCGGCGTGCAGTTGAACCTGGTCTGGTCGACATTGTTTGGAGATGCGCACGTCTTTATGAGGTTGCAGTTTTGCGATAGCCATTGTTCGCCAATCTGATGATCGGTTGTGATGGTTGATGAGATGATGGGGTAGTTGGGATGACGTGAAGATGGTGATGTGATTATGACGGTGATTTAATCTTTCTTCATCACCATCCCTAACCTCTTTTGGTCTTCCATACTCATCCAGACATCCGCAATTTTTGGGCTCCACACACGACCCCTTAAAAAAAAGTTTTGTGGGGTCGGAGCATTTGAGGACGTTGAAGACGGCGGGTTTGCCAATGGGGCATTTATCTTCGGCTCTTGGGTTCAAACACGTGTTGACGCAAGGGCTGGTCGTGTCTGTGACACATTTGAGAGATGGATCCGTAGTTTTGGGGCAATCTGTTTGCGGGCGTGTGTGCGTGCGTGAATATGTGTGCGTGTGTGTGTGCGTGATAAACAAAGAAAAAGAGAGAGAATAGAAAGAGAGAGAGAAAGAAAGAGAGAGAGAGAGAGAGAGAGAAAGATATGTTCGCTGATTTGTATAAATTTTTAAGGAATGTAGAGGAATATGAACAGTAACATGTCAATAGAGAGTGCATGATAATCGAGTTTGTGTACGTTGTGTGTACTATCTATTCTCTATTTATCACGCACACACACACGCACACATATTCACGCACACACACACGCGCACACACACGCACACACACAGATTTTCATATTGAAATATTTACGTGAATTTATGCGTGGTTTGTACTTTGATATGATTACATTTATATGATAATAACGAGTCTAACCGCATTCGTTTGTCGGATCCAGCTGTCGAGTTAATCGTTCGTCGAACCCGAGAAGATACCGACAGGTTTGAACTAACTCGCGTCGAATCTGGCAAACAACGTCGGTGAAGTTGTACTGAGAATGGCAGACTTTGTCGGTAATGGCGATGC